TGTACCTAGAGCTTCTTGAATGTGAGCATGTAAATAAGATTTTCAAACTGTTCCCACTCATAACTTTGACTGCCAATATGCAATGCGTACGTTAAGGACACAAGTTTAACTTGCTTAAAAATAATAATGGAATTGATTTGTAACTGTTCCCAACCCGAATTTTACGTTTCCTGTTTTTTCCGATATTAATTAAAACGTAACTGCTCAAAGAAAAGTGTCCCAAAATTAAATTAATAAAATATTTTATCTGCGTTTTATTTTACTCTTTTTTCTCCTTCTTTCCGTTTTCAGCGCCTGTCAAAAATTAAAATTCCTTTTGCTTTATTGTCGGATGCTTCATACAAATTGTAAGGGCATAAGTATTTTCAACACTTCTTTGGCGCTTGACGTGCTAATAGCGTGGGATAGCTGTTCATGACTGATTTTTAAAATAATTTTGTTGATTAAGCCCTCTAACTTCATCTTTTTGCAGAATTTTGATGCAAACAACAGTGCTACCTTCCTTCCATTTTCTTTGTGAAAATTTCCGAGTCATCTTAAACTTAACTTTTTAATACACATTTACAATGGTCAACATCTATATATGTATTTTTCATTTATTCAGTACGCATATCCCAGTTGGCAGCTACTTATTCATAGATTACACATTAATTATTGTATCGCTCAACGGCCTCTACACAAACTTTTCTTATTGATTTTAATAAAACAATTTCTCGCACACATATGCACATACACATAAAGACATGTACATACGTAGCTCTATTATACTAACTATAATTGGTAAATATATATGTATGTACGTACGGACATTTAGCAATTCATACTTAAAGCAATGGATCAAATAACTTAACAACGATTTATCTGCCTAGCTGCTTTTGATTTAAGATCAATTGTCGTGAGTTATCCATTTGAAATTCTTCCATTTGACAGTAAACAAGGTATCTGCAGAATGCAACGAGGACCACAGATATTCAGTTTATTTCATTTGAATTTTTTTTTTTTTTTTTTTCAAGTTTGTTGTTGTGGTTGAGGTATGCATGTTTGTGAGAAGAACATATCGTTGACAAAAATGGGAGAAATGACGAAAACGATGTTGGTTAGTTTGGTTTTGCTTTTGGCTTGCGTATTTTTTTCTATGACTTTTTATTTCTCTATTCTATGAGAATTCATTATTACAAAATTACTACTTATGTATGAAAATGTTTTCACAAACACATGAAGTTAATGAACTACGAGCAGTAAAAATGGATATAGTGATTAGCAGAAGTACATATATGTCTGTATTTAGCACATACTTAGTACACACATATGTACTATGTGTGTAAACGCATAGCAAGAGAACACATTTATGTATGTTTGTATTTGTTTTGAAAAAGTATTTATTTAACTTGCTAATGAAGTTATATTAATGCAATGGAGTAGAGGCGATAATGAAGTGGTGGAATGATGCTTAAAAGTTAATAGAAATTACGCGAATGCTTTTGAATGCAGATGCGAATGCAGCAAAAAAAAAAAACGTAACTGGCATACACACAGATAGCGGATGCTTGGCGGGGAAGGTAAATGAGATGAATGAAGTTATGATTTCTCATGAACACGCTAAATGAAATGGAAAAAAAGCAGCTCTAGTGTTGGTGGTCTTTTAAATGAAAAATGTATTTCTATTGGTATGTATGTGTTTTTGATTTCTTTCAGGATTTTGTATAGTTAGTTGATTTTTTTTTTTT